AATTTATATGTGTGAGGTTTACAATTCAGTTCCGATTAATGGTAATTCTCTGTCGCCCATTCAACAGTCTGAAACTCTGAAGCAACTGATGCACTTAACCCCACTGATCACCCTCCACTCAATTGTATTGTTTCTATGAGTAATATTGGTAATTGACCTTATTTGATGTGAAATATTTAAACAGTTAAAAGCACTATAAAAATGCGTGGTTGTGGGAAAGAACAGAGTAGGGTGTAATGGCGTATGATTACAAAAAGTTAATGGCTTCCATTAAAGGAGGGTTTGGCCCAGTATCATTAATCATAATGCCGTATTTCTAACGTATATTCGCCTTTCTGTTTTTGAAATTTTGAATCAGCAAATTTGTTGAGCCATTGTTCTTAAAGGAACCGATCAAAACTAATTTAACCGAATCGAATCAAACTAATACGAACTGATTAACACTGCCTCAAAAGTGAAAACAAGGCTTGGTTTTTAACTTTGCCAAATCGATTGGTTTGGTTCAAGTTTCGGTTTTTACCTCTTGGAACCTAAACCAAACTGAACCAAGCTTAATATTTTTAAAACAATTTCTAAATATAATTTCAAATGCTATTTTAAAAGCCAAATAAGCAATGGTCTGGTCTTTATACCCCTTTAAAATTTTAATGTTACCATAACATATTGATTTGAATTTTTAAAAATATAGATTATTGTATGACATACTAAAAACAAATCACCCTTGTTATTTTCAGATTTAAAATCGCTTTCGTATGGTGTGACCCTTTTATGGAATTTGGTTCTGTCTGCGCAATCGTTGACATTTTTTTTTCAGAGGTATTTATCTCATGCACAATATTCGTGAAATTATCGGTCAACCAAAATAACTGGAATTCAAATCAAGGAAATACAAAAGGAAAAGATGAAAATTGAATATCCACTCAACTTCCTGATCTTCATCTGTTTTTTTTTTTCCAAGTAATTCTATTCTCAGTCTTCGTTTCTTAGTTGATCAATCAATCGCCTTGATATTTCCACCCTAAAAAGGGAAACCTTGATAGTGCTGAAGTGAACTAATAAGGAATGCCACGACTAACAAAACAAAGGTTGCTCGCTCAGTATAATTAATAAAAGCAAGCAAGTCAAAAGGAAAATGGTCACATCCTTGGACTCCGACTTCCTACCATTGAAACTTGTCACAGGCAATTGTTTAATAAGCAACAAGCAAGTCGAAAACTTTGGCCAAAAAAAAAAACAGGTCAAAAACTAAGGGGAACTAAATCATCTATATTAATTTTTTGGAGCAAAGGGTCGATATCAATTTAAAATGTTAAAAATAATCAACAAATAATATTATTTACAAAAACATTAACAATATAATTCACTTCTTAAATCTCATGTGATATAATGCGCATGGGATATATATTTAATTATATATTTTACAAAAAAAAATTAAACTAATTAGTTTTTAAGCATGCAGTCATGGACGACCCACTCTATGGCTATTTAGTCCAAATTCATTTTTTTTAATTTTTAATGTTTAAAATGATATGATGGCCACATTTTTTTAAGAGGGGATAAAAGAGAGTAGCTATCGAAAATTATCTTCATTCTGGATTCTGCTGCATACATTAGATAAAAATATTTAAAATATCTAAAAGTAAAACATCATTAAATTATCTAAATCGTTTAATTTTAATCTAAGTATAATTCAGATGAGTGCCATCAAGATGAGCATTAAATTCACGTCCGTGTTCCGCGATGAGCCAAGGTTGGCAAGTGGCCACTTTCTCAAGTGCTCCGCTTGGAACGTAAAAATGGAGAATCTTGCAAAAAATGTTAATTATCTCTGGGGTCTAAGGAACCCTCTTGTGGCCTCCGGCCTCCTCTCCTCATTATTAATTGATTAATCAATTAATCAACAAGGAAAAAAAAACAAAGAAATACTCCCTTCAAAGCTCAAAGTACAAATCAAACGTGATCGATAAATTGATATCAACACCAATGATAATATTAAATATTTAATATAGGATGTATGACAAGCTTTCGTTTGCGTTTCTTTCATCTAACAATTTCATATAATGCATAAAAAGCCTGCATAATTTTTATGAAGGAAACAACCATATCAAAATAAATTTTTAGCTTATAAATAATTCATTATGCATATTTTTGAAAGGAAAAATAATAATAAATTGAATCTAAAATTGTTTGCCAGATCACTTCAACATTCTACTTTCAGCAAACAGAACTTCAAGTCACGGCGGTGCATGAGTTCTACATAATTTACGGCTGATTTGACTAAAAGTAAATTCTTTCTGGTACCAAAGTAGTTGATATATCGATATGTTTTCATTTTTCAGGGTTAACACAAATACGGTGAAGTTGAGATTTTCTTTAAAAACTCTACAAACAATCATCGCATTATAACTGATTTTTTTGTATAAAAACAATCAAATAAAAGTTTATTATGTGAAAATGATTTAAAATTTAATTAATTTGTATCCAGATATTTACAAAATCATTAGTTTGAATCAAAACGAGAGCTTCGGACGACATGTCGAAATCGAAATATGCAGACAACTAAGAATAATTGAGTCGCTTTCACGGAATCCCAACGGCCCCATATTTCAAAATAGTGTACCGCCTCTTGCACACGCTAACCAATTTAACTACAGTCATGCTGGTTTATATGCACATGCTTTAGAATTTTAATCTGTATTATTTATATTTATATATCTGTAAAAATTCTAGCATTCAAATATTGTATTATTCCCAAGTTATAAATACATTCCTCTGATCCTTAATGTATGATCTAATCAAAGAGTTGATATTTGTTTTATACGGTAGACCTATTTCACATATTTGTCACCCAAATTAACTTTATTGATATTTTCCCAATAATAATCAAGTGGGAGAAGGGGAAGGGAATTAAGAAAGATAGTCAAGGTATTCTATAAAAGAAAAACATATCATATTAACTAATTCAGCTAACATTCTTAATCTACTCAAATTAATTAATTATATCTTAAATTAAGGACTGGAGTCGTATGTTGCAACTTGTTCTTCACTCCCTGCAACTGCATTATTTAATCAAAATATGTAATTGGAGCATTTTTAATCGACATTATGCTTCACACCTTCTTTTAAATATTACCTCCGGTTCTAATTATAAAAACTAGTTGACTAATTTGAGGAGATTAAGGAAAGAAGTTAAGTTAGTTATTTGTCATAAATAGGTGTTGTCTTTCCTAAAATATCTTTGTTAGTTAAGTGTATTGGCTAGAACTACCACTGTTAAAAGGACTATTTTAGAAAAAAATACATAAATATTAGAAACAAAATAGATTGAAATCTTATATTTAGGATTAAAATAAAAATCAAATGAAATTTTATATTAGGTACAGGAGGTAGTATATGGGAAACTCGCTCTGCTGGTTGTAGCTAATAATAATATAGTGATTAATTGCGGCGATGATAGTCTGCAAGTACCCAGCTTCTTCATTCAGCGGATACCGTCTCCGCTGTACACATCTGTTTGATAGTATTTATGATTTTTGTCGTAGCACAATCAGTAATGGATGGTCCACCTGGGATAAAACGCCATCCACTATAAAATTCTGAAAAATAACTGTTTAGGCTTCAAATTAAATGCTGCTACGTGCCAAGAGGAGGGAAAAAAAATTTAACAGAGCCATGACTTGTAAATCACAATTTTTTTTTTAATTATCATATGAATGTCTAGCTTGTAAACATTTGTATTATAATATCTAAGTAAATTTGAGTTGATGACAGAAGTGTCACATTGGATACAGTTAAGCTTAATAAATATTATCTCCGATCTTAATTATAACATCTCGTTTAAAACTAAGTTTTATAATTAGGACTGAAAGTAATACTCCCTCCGTTCTTTATTATAAGAGACATTTGATGCTTATGGCATGTTCCCATATGTAAAAGACACTTAAAAGTTGTTTCTATTTTTTTGTATTGATTTCCTATTTCACCCCTATTTATTTTGTCTCCCACTTATACTCTCTCTCCCTCCCACTTCTCTTTCTTTTAATAATTTAATTATTCTCTCTCATACTCTTTCCCCTTATTAATGGGGGCATTGTTGGAAAAAATATTATACTTTTTACATATTAATTGTTCTCAACTAATTGTAATTTTTTTTATTAACGTAATTTAATTATTTGTCTCTTATAATAAGAAACGGAGGGAGTAATATATAATGAATAGCTTATAAACTCAAGCATTAAAATTTTGAGGGTCATTTTTTTTTAATCTCTTTTTCAGGCTTCACTTCACATTCATAACACTTCGTGAATTCGACTTGTAATTAAATGACATAATTTGACTTATAAATATAAAAAATGGCTTATAATTATATAATCCCTTAAAATTTATTAATATTCAATAAGTTTCGAGATATCTATTTGTATTCAATTTTTTATTGGAGACTAATTTCCCCGAAAGTTTATGTATTTGAGGGGCGGGGACTCCTTTTGGATTGGTGAATATTTTAAAATAATTAAATGAATGTTGCCACTTGATATGCACATTTGCCCATGTCAATCAAGCGCCCACTAGATCTTGTCCGGCAAGTTCAGGAAAACCGCTAAAGCTGGGCTCCTTGATTTGCATCGACCCACAAAGCCCAAATATCCAGAACGCAAAACGACAAGACCGACATCGAACACAATACTTCAAGTCAAGCAACTGCCTTCATTAGACTGTAAATTCAGCACATTTACATATTTACTTACAGTCAAATTGATTCTAAAACCCACGACCAACAAAATCATAATCTGCTAGTCTATTACAACACAGATGAATCATCACCTTCTCCTTGGATCTAATATGGAAGACAAGAAAAAAAGGCTAATAATAAGAAGGAAGTGTGGACAAATGAGTTGGCTGCGCCTATATGTAACTTACGAGAGGTCCAGTTGGCACTACACATTGAACTTCCATTCCTTTCGTTACTACTCCCCTCCCAGGAAAGTCCTATCAGACTGGCCTTAGTTGTGCACCGAGTGTCCTACGCCGGGGCTATGACCGGGGTTCGTGGGTCTGAAATCAGAAACGTCATGACCCTCAGCCGCCGCCGGCGATGGTGGAGACACGTCTGCCTGGGTGGTAGCATTCGTAGTTGATAGAACTTTTCTGTGCGCGGCGTCACCCACCTCACGCTTGACGAAATTTTCGTTGCCTTCAGACTTCAGATATCGTCCCTCAATGGACGATAATTCTAGGCACAAGGTCAGCGCCAGGACGACAAAGCACAGGACGAGCTTGCTTTGGGCCATCAAAACGAGAGAGAGAGATTGGATTTGGTTGAGCGGTTCAAGTCTGTTGGAGAAATAAGACAGTTGGATGGATGATGAACACACAGCTCAAGTCAATGATTACCTAAACAACAAAGGATGATGGATATCTATCGGAGCTTGGAGTTGGAACTGAGTTGCTTGAACCCTCCTTGGAGGGAGGGTTTTATAGAGCTCAAGGGCCTCATCATGCAAGTGTGTGTGGGCCCAAGGCCATCTATCCTAAGTAGTGGGAAATACATTGTTTTTTCGATTCTGTGTATTTCTGTGAAAAACAACTAAAAAAGTGCAGAAGTGCGGCTGCGCCTACCTAATAATAATCGAAAGAGCAGAGAACAAGTGATTGCGTGTAACAGATTTTATGACCATTGAAACTGTTTAATGTCGACAGCATTACGACTATCATAGGGGTCACTGTTGGAAAAATGAGGCTTCTACTTTCTAGTCTTTCCCAACATTACGTCGCCAACTTGGGAAGCGTAGCTTAGGCCTTCAGCCTTTCAATATATAATTATTATGCAATAAAGTGGCAAATTGGAAGACAGTCTGACTCTTTTTAGGAGTCTATATTTTGAGGAGGACTAAGGTGGTGATGGGCTGCTTGGTTTGCCCATGAGCTGAGCTTTATTTAAATCGGCACGAACCGTTATCAGTTTTTAAATACATGCCCGTTATTTCATTCGTTGTCAGTTGCAGTTCCTGCCCTTGGACAAAAGAAAGCATCTTTCCAACTAGATGCAACTTACCACTTTGCCATTGAGCTCTGTCTTTTTGCTTCAGTTGGCCACTCGATCAGCTTTCTACTATCGTCACATGCAAAGTCAAGTGGCCTTCCACAGATTTTAAAGGCAACAATTAAAAAAAGGTCCCTTTTGTTGATTTTTGACAACATGCTGCGCAAAAGTTTTTGTAAAGAGCATATTCGTAAAGTTTGTTTTTTGTTTGAAAACATCAAGTTAAAGCTGTTGCAAATGCATTAGAGAAAGTAAAAAAGAGTGTTGTTTTGATGAAGAATTATTGTCAAAATTCAGACAACATTCTACATTTTCTGTATTCATATTATAAATGTAATGAAGAAAAGAAAAGACTAAAAGTGTCGTCGTATAGATTTGTGAATGATACAAGGGGCAGCCTATATAGCAATTGAGTTACTTCATTACAATCTCAACTAATATTTCGACAACTACATCGAAACAGAGGGCTAGCAAACATGCATTGTATTTTCAGTATTCAGTTAACAAAAATTGGATCAAGTACAGGGTTTGACTGGGGGGGGGGGGAGTACAATGCTGGGGTTGTGACTATATACGATTGGAGGTTTCCTTGAAGTTTCGCCATTGTGCTTGCGGGACTCCAGCGTGTTGTTTCGGGTGATAGACGCGTGTTATTTCTTTGAACAGCAATCGAACATGTTTTTCATGCAATTTCTTTGTAATACACATTCAGGTCCAGCCACAGAATCCTCTCCAGGCAGTTTGGTTTGGTACATCGTGCATGCAGGCGAAATTGGCATTCCTTATTCAGAGCAAATGCAATCATAGGCTTAGTGACACAAACATATTTTGCAAGGGACCTACAGTAAATCTGTAGTTGTTCATTCTCAACTGATCACCATCCGTGTGCGGCTATTTTTCGGCCTATCATCACAGGAAGGTTCTTGGGTTTGCCTAACCTCGACCATTATTTTGGGAATTTGAATTACGTTGCTGAGACTAGTCTTTAGCCATTGCCTATTCTAGATTAATACCCATGCCTTAGAATTCTATCTCCCCACTATAGTCTTTTTTTTTTTAATCGTTCACGTGCCTTGTATCTCGTGAACATGATATAATTTTATTCTCTTTAAGAAGATGTTTGGATAAAAATCAAATTATAATTTTAAAAGTAATTTTTACCATATAAAAATGTAGAAAAATTTGCCTCAATTATCAAAAAAATACTTTTTAAAAACATTTTTGAGATGTTTCAAACACCTTTTTAATGGCAGAAGTGGCAAATCTATCATATTCTGCAAGCAAGCCGTCTAGAATGGCCTCAATGTGAGAGATCTGCTGATGCTATTGCTGAGATTTGAGCTGATCTCGTCAAATGCTTTTAGCCAACATAAATTGCGTGCTCAATATTCTTATAAAAGTCCCTTTGGACACATAATTTTCAAACAGCAATCATTATGATAGCCGTCATTTCCTGATTTCATCGAAGACGCTCCCCCTCTAGTCTCTTTTTTGAATTGCTCACGTGCCTTGTATCTTGTTAACACAGTATAATTTTACTTTAACATAGTACAATTTCACTCTCTTAGAATAATATTTGAATGAAAACCAAATTATAGTTTTAAAAGTAATTTTATGATATATGAAATAAATATATTGAGGAATTTACTTTACTTTACAAAAAAAAAACTTTTTAAAAGTATTTTTGAGATATTCCAAACATCCCTTTAGATGCAGAAGTGGAAAATCCATCATATTCTGCAAGCAAGCCATCTAGAGTGGCCTCAACGTGAGAGATCTGCTGAAGCTATTGCTGAGATTTGAGCTGATCTGGTCAAATGCTTTTAGCCAATATAAATTGCGTGCTCAACATTCTTATGAAAGTCTCTTTGGACCCGCAAGTTTCAAATACCAGTCATCACAATAGCCGGCATTTCTTGATCTCGTCAAAGACACTTCCCACCCCCAAAACAAAATGCTCATATTAGATCTGTTTAGATTAACAGTAAAAAAAATAACTTATTTTTAAAGAAGTGAGATTTGATAAAGTTAGATTGTGTAATATAATTTATGTTTAAATTGATTTTTAAAAAAACTAGTTTGTAAAATTAAAAAAAATTTAGATTATAATTGAATAAGTAAATTTAATTTGTAAAATAATCAGAAATGTTTATTAAATAATAAAAATATTAAAAATATAATTTTAAATTACTATAATAGAAAAAAGTTATATTTAATGAATAAAATATATTTAAATTAGAAATTATAGTCATGTGAAAATTTTTAAATCAAATAATATTGCATAATTAATTATATGGTATACTCGGCATAATTTATATAAATATAAAATTAAAAATAATATTAAAAATTAAAAATATTACAAAAATTCTTAAAAATTATATTCACTCAAAAGAATACTAAAAAATAAAAAAATTAAAAACTGATTAAAAAGCACAAAAAACATATAGAAAGAAACATAAGAACAACATAGATAAAAATATCTTTTAATTCAAAAAAACTACTTTTACATAAATCATAACAAGTTTTAAATGCTTTTATAATCATGCTTAAAAAAACAGCTCTTAACCCATATATAAAATTGACCAAAAACTGTAACAAACAGCTCTCAAATTTACAAATTAACTTATCACACATACAAGCTACTTTTTCCTCCCTCAGAAGCCTTACCAAACAGGCACATTAACTCGAATAAATAAGCTAGCATATACAGGATCATTCTTCTGATCATTCAAAACTAACAGCTAAAATTACACAGGAACCGAAGCATCTTTGATCACCGGAGAGTTGACACAGATGGATGCGTGGCTAAAAACAAGTAAGAAAGGCTAAAGAACACTAATGCAGCGTCACAGCACCAAAATTGTGAGCCTTGAGGCTCGCAGGGGCAATATCGGTGAAGCCATTATTTCACCCTTTTCAACGACTTGAAGAAACCATGGCGGTTGCCGAAGATAAGCCTCGTATTATTCACGACTTGCGAACACTGCGGCTTTCTATGCTTTTTTATATTTTATAATGGGAATGACTGGTTGATAATACTGATTGACTTCCACTAATAATCAGGCCCCAGAAAACTCTCGTATATAGTCCCATTCAGTGTTTTCTTAACATCATCCCAGTTCTTAATGTGTTCTGACATTGGTCCTCTATGTATCTTAACCTGCCTGCTTCTTAAATCCATCTGCGGCAATCTCAAAAACTCTAGCACGTCTTGAAGCTTCTGCAACAAACAAAAACTTCAAATGTACCAAAAGCTAAGAAAATACCAAATACATCAGCCTAGAGGTTTTAACTGGGTTCAAAATTCAAGAAACATTTGCTCATGTTATCTGTGGCTAGCCAGCTTAGCCATTCATGGTTTCGTATGTAATTTTCTTTATAATAGCCAATAACACTATAAATAAATTAAGGTAAAAAAGAACCCAACATTTTTGTGTAGTAAAATGTTCGTTATGAAGGCAGGAAAGGGAAGAGGAGGAAACCTCATGGCCATATTTTGGAAAAAAATTGTGCAGCTAGGTTAAATCAAGTCACCAGTGTATTAGATAGAAGCTAATATATGCATTATATCAAGAAAAGGAGAGCAAAGGTATGTAAAGCATTTAGAAAGCCCTTACGGTGCGATTCCTCATAAGATCCTCATAGTACAGGAGCATATGACGAGTGCTGTTGAAGTATTCTAAAGCCATTGTAGTTTTCATCTCCATTTCCTTCAAGTCAGCTACCAGCAATGAAGAATTTAAGGCGGGCTTGTACTTTGCAAGAGTGTCAGCCTAATAGCAATTGCCATTCATGAGTGTCTTATTTAATGCGTATGAGAGGGTCGAGGGGAAAAAAAGAGACTAGACAGACCTCTTCAGCAGAATGTACATGAGACTTATGAGTTCCATTCACTAACTTCGCATAACGATCGTAGGAATTGGCAAGCATTGAAACCATCCTGCGCAACAAGTTTCTCCGAAATAGAAATATAACAGAGACACTTCTTTGGTTAAAGTAGTCTACTATATCTTTGTGGTGCTCCAATAATCCCTGCATACAAAAAGATGCCTTGATTCTTCAATTACTAAACCTAGTAAGAAAAAAGCATTGCAAGTCTTGACTCGTGATAAAGCTCAGATCATATCAAATTACTGGACGGAAATATTTATCCTGATAAACGAGTATAATAAATGCCAGGTCATTTGGAAGAAAGGGCATCAACAGCTCATCCGCCTTCTCATGTTGCATGGCATCATTCACCAAAAAGGCAAGTAAAATAACTGGCAATCGGCCCCCTCAGAGCAAATGAGCACTGCAAATACAAAGCCTATAACCCTAAGTCCATCCAAGAGAATTGACAAATTAGGTTTTTATGGAATGGCATGTCAGCGAGGTCTGGTAGCATTAAGTGTCATTTCAGATCTAGCATCAAGATAGATGTGTCAGAGAGAAAGGGAACAATTTTTTTTTTTTTGGGGGGGGGGGTGTGGTGGAGCGCTAGCATGAACCCAAGGTGACGCCATAACTAAATTTTACTCCACAGGTTTTCCACTGAGAGTGATTGTTTGCATATTTGTGCTTGCCAAAGTAACATCAGAAAGTGCATTTCCAACAGAAAGTGACTATTTAGTGAGTAAAGTAGAACCAATATGACCCCTTGAATATTAGCAGTTCAGACACAGTTCCAGTAAAACTGTCATGAGAAGTCTGAACTAAAATTGCCTACAATCTGTAGTTCTTGACATGGAAGAAACTCTCTGGAGGAAGACACAGTCAGATGAAAATGGTGACCATAACAGAGTCCCGAAGAGGCACAGTTTCACCCAAAGTATCACACTACAGAGAATGCTTCTACAGGGTTGTTTTTCAATAGAGACACACTTTCTAGAGTATTAAGTGGCTGTATAGGGATATTACAGTCGCCCAATATGCCTGCTAAAGTAAATAACAAAAGACGTATTTGATTTTTTTTCCGCAACGTCAATAACAGAATTTTAAGCCCAAGAGAAGTTGATATCCATGATTCACAACCCATGTGTTAGTGAAGTAGGACATATTCCAGGATGAGTATGTGCAGCATATAGATTTGGGGTGTCAGGCGGAATACCTTAATAGCATCATCCATCAACACTCAGAGACTGAGAATAGACAGATTTCATATTTGGAAAAGAAAAATGAAATTCAGCTAAATCCTGAATTCCATAGGCATATTTTGAAGTTTGAACAAAGTACAGCGAATGTGTGGGTGAAAACATGGAAAGCCGACCGAAAACCACGTTTTGGTGGAAGCAACCTATGCGTTACTTGTGCCAAAACCGCAACATGCTAAAAGTGTGTTGAGTTGAAAACACTTGGCAGAAGAACAAGAGGTATTTTACCTGATTGAGCATCCACTTTAAGCCAACCGCAGCAGAGCACTCATTCTTGGAGGCACTACTGAGCCAATCCAAATTATAAACTTTATCTAAAGTCTGTACAATCGAAGAAATATTCTTCCTTCTATCATAGACAGAAAATATCTCCCCGTTCGAGCTCACATTAACATGACTGTTCAAAAGAGTCTCAAACCATCCGCTGCCTGATCTCTGATTGGACAAAATGACAAAGTACTGTACAGGATTACGAGCACACTCATCCCTGGTAATTTAAAAGGCAATTAATTAAAAAACACAATCAAGAGAAATCGGTAATTTACTTTCAGAAGCTTCAAATTACCTGCTAAAAGATACAGGTTTGGGATAATGTAAATAGGGAACATCCGTTGGATTTACTCTATGCTGAGAAGGCTTCTCAACAACGTGTATATCCTGAAACTTAGTCCTTGCATGTGAGGTTATCTGCTTTAGACAGACCGAACAAATGAAGATACCGCAAATCACTGAAAATATTAAAACTGCCGTCCTTAACAGCAACGGAGATTTCTTCGGAGGCTTTATAACGAGAATATCCTGTGAAGTCCGAGAAGAAAAATACATTGTCAAGGAGAGGGCGAATGGGAACATTGCAAGCTCATCAAATGCGTAATCTCGCGACCCCCCCCCCCCCCAGAAAGCGGATATCTATGTCAAGTCATACTAATAACAAGTAATTGGAGAAAAGAAGTGCCGGCGGACTAGAGGAACTATAGAAGCATTAATTTCAGCTAAGAACCACGAGACAATCGTTAAGTTTTGTAGGCAACTAAGCACAGCCGATGCAGAATAATAAGCCCCAAATTCAGACAGCAACCCAGATCGAAACATGTAGAGAAACTCAAAAGCATTCTTCTTATTCAAAGCCCTAACCTAAAACACAAACTCTCACAATCAAACCCGGAGAAGAAAGTCCCTCTACTATACCTGAAACACGCCTGAAAACAGCCCACACTGAGAATTTCAAGTAGTTGCGAGAGGGGGGAAAATAAAAAAAGAAGCACATTACTCGTCATAGTTAAAAAGGAGCTGTTTTAGGCGGCAAGGACCACATAGCAGGGAACAGTTAGAGAGTGAAGGAATTAGAAGCACCTTGTTGAAGAAACACATGTTTTCTACCATAGCTGTTGCAAAAAACAGAGGAGAAGAGATCCAAAGAACCAAGCAGCAGAGAACCCAGATTGTTCTGTCAGGTCCACAGTAACACCTGCTTCTTCTATACCCCGCTAAAAAGGTTGAGGAAACGGCCGAAGAGAAGAAGTAACCGAGGGGAACGGTGGGAGCATAAACAAACAAAAGAATCGCTCAGCTTTGGAGTTGGCTTTGCATCGGAAAACTCAAATACCATACAGTGAGACCCCGAAAGCCAAACGGCAACCCCGAGCTGGCCTGCTCCTTGTTGCTCTCTCTGTTTCAAATTTTATATAATTTTTTTCTTAGTTTACCCTCTGGGGAGTCTCCGAGGCTGCCAAATGGAGTCCCTGAATAATTTAACGTACAAAATGTCGCGCTGCCCCGCAAAATCTAAATCCGGAAACGACCACCGAAGACCCACAACCACAAAGCTCAGTACCTACGGCTCGTGACGAGGAGGAAAGAACCAAAAACAGTACAGGTATACAACTTTTATGACCCTTGACTTTTGCTTTGTCGTTGAAATAAATATAATGAAATGTAAGAAATACATGTAATATAGAAATTAATCAAATTTTACTTGAAAGAAAATAATATCTGTTATTTTGATTAACAAGTACGTATGTGTTGCTTAAAAACAAGGATAATACATTATATGAAGCAGAATGTTGTAATTCTCACTATTGTTTTTCATTTTCTTTTCTATTGACGTTTATTATTTGTTTTGGACTGACTGAGATTTTTTTTTTGGCCCGAGGAGCAGAAACGTTGACGAAGATCTCTAGGAGTTTTCAGGGTCATCTAATAAAGCTAAACAAGGTTAACGACAGCAGATTTGGAACGAAACCATAATTTCAGTTCGGCGACCTTTGACATAAAATAGCCACACACGCACGTTAATAAGATATGAAAAGTCAAACCTATCCCTTATGTATTTATAAAAAAGTTTGTTTGTCAGGATATTCTAATCAATTATTATTATATCTTTTTAATTCTTATCATATTGATAATCTACCAAACAAGATATAAACACATTTTTATTCTTTCTCGATAGAAAAACATTTTTGTTCTTATCTATACCGTATCAAACAAAACATTAGGTGATACCAATACTACATTCTACTTTGTTTTTATTTTCGTTTTGCTTTCTTTCTTTGTTTTTTTTTTTGGTGACAGCTAATACCAAAACATTACTATTTTTTCTTTCTATTTCTTAATAATTTATTTAATTTCAACATCAAACATATCGTAAAAATAAAATACCATTCCTGCTCCATATAAATACCAAGTCTTACAAATTTTGTAATGGGAATGATGGCTTATGCTGAAATTACATAGCGTTGAGCCCCTTCCTTCCTCCCAGAGCGCAAGGTTCAGAATTCAAATACAAAAATAAAGTGAACAATAAACCTATAAAAAGGTACACATCCAGCAGCTAAAATTCATATTATTGGTATTATATATCTTTCTATCTTGTTATAAGCACCTGATAATAACTTTGCATAAGTTGCTTGAACCAGTTAATGAAATGCTATTTTGTTGGCGACGGATTTTTTTCTAATTAATTAACAATAACTCTCTGCGTGAATATTTAAATTCTTGATCTCTATTCACAATTCACTTTGCCTTCTTTCTGAACAAGAAGTCCTAGGCTTCAAGGAACAATATATGGTTTGATGGTCGACTGACAAAAATATAGCTAAACGGAGGTTCCATTAATATTTCGTTTTTGCTTTCCTGAATGCCTAGCGTGTTGTTTAGTCAAAGACAATTCAAATGCACAATTCTTGTACATTTTTAGTGTAAATGCATTTGCATTTTTATTAAGACGTCGTTATTCATATATCCTCTCATGTTTATACACACACTATTATTTTGAGCAGAGAAAATGCGAAGGACATACACAGCGCTGTAAAGTGACTAAATGAGTTGATTTTGAGAAGGAGGAGGTATGTTTTTTTTGTAAGCACCATAAAAATAAAAAGTACTACCTCCGATCGTAATTATAAAGGCCAGTTGACTATTTGAGGGGATTAATAAAGTAAGTTGAATTAGTTATTTGTCCTAAATAAGTATTGTCTTTTTTAAAATATCCTTACTAATCAAGTGTATTGACTAGAAATATTTAGAATAACTACTTTAGAAAAAAATATATAAATATGAGAGACAAAATAGATTAAAATATTATATTTATGACCAAAATAAAAATTAAACAAAATTTTATATTAAAAACTGAAAGTAGCATATCGTAAAAATATTTTTAAAATTGTGATTTTGATTCTATCTAAACACTATCTAATTAGTTTGGAGGTCTTTTTAGGTCTGCGGCAGAGGCAGGCAGCCGAGATCCGTACATACGTCGAGGCGTTGACGAAGATTTCGAGAGGTTTAATTTATTAATCTAAATTTTTAACAGCGACGGCTCGCGTACGATGCTCACTCTCTCTCTCTCTCTCTCTCTCCCTCTGGGGTTTGATAAGTGTGCAATTAATTGATTAACGCAGCAGATGTACGCTACGGGGGGTTTGTGCTGCAGGAACACGAGCTATAGGATGTGTGGGAAGTGGGATATTGTTGAGCTCACATAATTTACTGATCCCCTCTCCGCGTGTTTGTGTCTGAGATGATCGAGTGGAGGAAGATGAATGCATAAAATAAACAACAAATTTAATTTACAAAGCAAAGATTATACTCCTCCGGTCCTTAATATAGGACCCATTTAACTAATTTGATTAGATTAAGGAAGTTAGGTAAGTTAGTTAATTATAAAAATTGTGACATGTTTTTCCTAAAATACCATAATCATCTTTCTTAATACTCCTCTCTATCTTCTACTTGATTATGGTTGATAGAGTATCCATAGGGGTAATTTAGAGAAAATTGATAAATATGATAAATGGGTCTTATATTTAGGACCAAAATCAACTCAACAATTGGGTCCTATATTAAGGACCGGAGGAGTATTTTTTTTAAAAAAAAGGAGGTGCATGATGGATACAGATGGAGGAGGGTGGAATGGCATCATCGCGAGACGTGGCCTGGATTGACATAGACAGGGACGACGTGGATGAGAATGAATTGCCCAAAGGACAACCCTCGTTAGATTTTGACTGACCCCGTCAAATCAAACCTCCCAACTTCGAGCTGGCTGAGAGTAATGTTGGAATTCTTCGGAAGCTTACGAATATAAAATAAACCTATAAAATGAGTTTTATTTTAAATTACATCAACAGGTGCTTTGGGATATTAACCATTATCTTGAACAAGCATCTCAGCGTTTTTGAAATTTATTTTTAGGCCTTAGTGGGTATTTGGAAAACACTAAAATTAATTAAATAAATTTTTTTTATATAAATCAAAACAAACTTCTTCTCACATGTTTATTCCAAACACCACAAAATTGTTTCTAAAAAACTAGTCAAAACACTTCCTTAATCTCTAAAACTTAACCTCATCGTGGTATTAATCCTTAAAACTTGAAACGACTAATTTTTTTATCTCAAATCTGACCTCAGGTCATCTAAAGGTTTTCTCTCATAAATAATATTTTTAATTCATTATTTATAATTCTTGAAAAAATAGTAGCTTTGTATTTTAGAAATCAAAACTAAATTGAAATTAAAAATAACATTATCCTTTTTTCTGGTTAATCAAAGTAACCTGAATCATAATTTTTGTTAACGCTGATCAGCAGAGATAACTAGATTGGTGCTACTCCCATTCTTCGTCACCGACACTATTTTAGTAGATGCACGGAAGCATCAGGGGACTGATTTTTTAGGCCATAGTTTGATTATTTATTTCGTTCGGTTCCAATCCAAGTCCCTGTCCACATCATTGAAATGGTCAATCTCGAGATCCGTTGTTTTCTCACAAAAATGGGATATTAAAAATAAACTCCCCATCGCTGTTTGCTTACTTAACTCGTAGAATTAATAGGGAAACAGGATTAAGTTAATCCAATTAAAAAAACCAGGCAAAGTACCGTAGACGAAAAGTTAATGGCGTTGTCATGAAATATAAATATGCATATGATGAAAGTTTGAACCGGGGATATTAGGATGAATATTGTACAAAGAGAATGACGTGGATTTGTAATGAGTAGAATTAATGCGGGCTTCGCGCGAGGCTTCCTGGAAAATTTCACATGGAAGGAATCAGGTGAATAAAATGATAAACTGCCAGTTTGGAAGTTCATAATTAAGGGCAGCTGCAAATGGACATTAGTAATAAAATTGACTTTCTGTTCAGAACAAATGAAGTGCTGGAAAGGAAGCAACCACTTCTTCTAGAAGACCAAGGCCGCCTGACCAACTAAACTCAACGATGTTGTTCCTTTCGACTTTTTTTTTTCCCCAAGAAAAACTATACTGTATATTAATAGAGCCCAGCCTTCTTTTATAATGGTCAGCTAGAAAAGTAATTTCAATCAAACTTGTTTGTATTTTTAAGAATTCTAATTGCAATAAAACAAACAGATCATAGATGTGACGTGATATAAGTTAAGACTTTTAGAATTACTTTTTGTTATCGATGAGCAGCAACATGAAACGTGCATTTGCTTTTAATTTTTTCACAGACTAGTGAAAGCAAAATCTATACACAATATAACGAGTCGAACGGACATTACAACTTCAAATTCTATAGAAGTTAGAAGCACATAGAGATTGAATTATAATTAAATAAAATCTATACAAACGAAATGATTAATTATTTCTATTTTTTTCATATAAACAGTGCAATTCTTTCTTATGAATTGGGTTATTATTAGAAATCAAATCATTTATTGTTTTTCATATATTTCTTTTTTTAGTATGCTCTTTTTAAATTAAATCTTCGCGCAATGCTTCATTTAAATTGTTATTCCAACTTTAAATAAAGTTTTGAAAACAAAATCACTGTTTCTTTGCTAACATTGTTAATCACTCCGTAACATAACAAGTGTCTAACATACAAAACACGAAAAACTGCAAACCACTTCCAATAATTTGTTTTCGTGTTGCCGGATATCATGTACGTATTTATTTGAAGTTTGAGATTTTCTAGCACAAAAGAACTCCACAAAAATTCATAACCGGCAGAAGATTTTCAAAGAAATGAATGAGGAAACTCAAAATGACAGGAAGTGTTGTCAGGATTCAGAACTGCGGAGAAGCAGAGAGTGAAGGTGGAAAAGGATGGAGTGGATTTCACATGGGGCGCACACCCTGGATTTAAGTTCTCACAGATCAGAATCAATACCCAATGGTAGTAAACAAACAAGAAAAAACCAACGAGGAAATAAGAATACCCTAAATTTTGCTTCTTTTTTTTTGTGAAATTGGCTTTGTGAAAATCTAAAACATGGGGAGCCTCCCG